GGCACGAGGGGACTGCCCATGCGAATATCGCAGGTACCTACCTACCGTCCAGCAGAATAGGAGCGAGGCCCTCTTCCTCAACAATCACTCCCTCCTCGAGCGGGGTTCGAGACTCCCACCGTCCAAGCTGTAGGGGAAAGCGTCTTGGGAAGATATGATGAAGAACTTCGGGCGCATCCTGCTGGCTTCCATCGAATGTTCATCCTCTTGCGACTTCCGCCATGATGTTGTGTTCTGGTGTAATTCGGGCTTGTGCACTAACCTGCATGGCCCATGGCTGGTCTGAGCGAACCTGCTCGGAGTACCGGGAGATATGCAATGCAGTGACCGAAGCACAGAGCTAGTGTAGCAGCGATTACGGGTGTTGGCTAGCAGCAGCAGGACCTATCTGTGGGCCCGCGGTCAGCGACTTTGTGCTTGTTGTCGGGGCTGACTTGCTTTTTTGGGCTCCCGGCTCAATCCCTGTCGGGCGGCCTCTTGCAGAACGTGTGAGAGAAAAAGCGGCAGACACTGTTGGAGATGCCGACCTGGGGCATCAACTGTGATTCTGCGGACACTACATTGCTCTCCTTAGTGAACGAACTGCTTGAATTGCCCCAGTCTGTGAGTGATTTGTGGGAGAATTTTTTGCATAAGCTCCGGGTGTTGCTTGTTGAGATGCTGCTTCACTCCCTTCGTGCCCATGCACTATTGCCTGCCCGCACAATGTGCAGCTCTCCATAAATAGAAAGTGAGAGTCTGTTGTCCTGACTGCTGTCGCTGGGTCTTGCTCAGATTTGGCGACTAGACTTGCCAGGGTCTCATTGATTAGTGCCTGCTCAACCGGCAGCCCCTCTGATTGTCTCCAAAGTATGGACAGCTTGGGGCATGTAGACGACACCGCACTCCTCACATGTTAGAAGCAATTCTCTGGTCGTCTCTTGCACAGCTGAGTCTTCCCAGACTTGGCGGAGACGTTGCTCCAGCAAGACTGCTCTTGGCAGGTATAGGGAGCTAAGCTCCGGCTCATCCGACTTGGGTTGCCACCCCAGAAACGTCTTGAGCCGCGATAGAAGCTGCGTCTTGACTTCAGGAATGCAATTATTGGTCTCCTTTGTATCCTGGGAGTAACTTCTCAGTAGAAAGCGCGAGTAGCACATCATGTAGGATTTTAGCTTCGCGAGGCCACGTTCGTTGAGACCGACAATATGCAATGCATAGAGTGCAGAGGCCCATGCTGTAATTCTGCATATCGATTTCCTTCTGCCTTCTGTTTTTCGTCCGGTTGCGGACGCTCCTTGCAGCATGTGAGCGACTCCCGTGTCCTGTGGGCTGAGCCACCATGGAACTGCAGGAGCAAGGCTGACTTGGCGGGATTGACCCTAAACTCCTAAACCCTATAGCTCTACCAGCTGATCCAGAAGCACGTCACGCATCTTCGCCTCCTCTGTCCCTCGTCCTGGCACGAACCCAAGTGTGTCACTCCTGCCGTACTATTCCGACGAGGATCTTGCCTTCCGGGGCTATCACCCCTGGGCGGAGTGCCGAGGGCTTGTCCGGCTTTTTAGGTGGCGTGGTGAGCCAGGAGAGGCAAGATGATATGATTTTCTCACTCATGACAGGCCTAGCTGTCTCTGCACTTAGGGAGGCAATGGTACCCAGTACTTCGTCCCCTAGTGATCTCCAGGCGACCACCGGCGGGCAGTCTTGTGGCACTGCTTTTCCAATATTTATGGTATTGAGCTGGGCTCTTAGCTGTGATCAAGATAGGTCCTTGCTCTGCTCCAGACCCACGGGAAGTCAGTACCTGTCCAAAACAATTCCTTGGAGAAGCTCTCCAAAAGAACAAGACCCTGTTCATCCCGTAGCGTGGCTTACCCGACTTGAAGGCTTTGATTACCTTGAATAAGGAGTGACTCCCATCCTGAGTGGCCTCTGCCTCTGCGGCGACTAAGTTTAATTGTTCATCTATCATGGCCTGCCGCTGCGTTGCTTGGATCTTTTGGCCTCCGCTCCCTGATGTGCGATCGTGTTCCAGCAGGTCCAGACCATTTTTAGCTTCAGGTCCCTCATGAGGTCCGCTAGGGCAAGGACTACGTACGTAAGATGCTACGGTTTTTCCCATATCGAGTGATTCCTTTCCAGCTTGGTAACCGTTTCTTTGGGAAAATCTCTGGCATAGCCCATTTCGTGGAGTCACGGATATGGTCCCAGGAGGATGGGCCTGCAGATAACATCTGTGAAACCGCTTCTGAGAAGACCCTGATGCGAACATCCCCTGAGCGAAAGCAATCTTCCATGTCTTGCTGGTTGTCCGCTTCGTAGCGGTAGATCCTGACTGCCCTGTCTCCACGCGGCTAGGGAAACTCTCTTTTCATTGACCGGTTGCGGCGACCTAGATATAGGGGACTTAGATTTATATAGGTTTTGGAGGCAGCTCAGCCAAATGTTGACAAATTTTGACAAAATAAAGACAAATAAAGACAAATAAAAACAAATACAGACAAATAAAGACAAATAAAGACATACATTAGACAAATAAAGACAAATAAAGACAGATTTTGACAACATATTGACAAATAAA